GGGGGGGGGGGGGGGAGGGAAAGGCAATGAAAGGAGAAGTTTTGTGCCTCCTTTTGCAAGAAACAGAAATCTGTTAGGAGGTTTTGGTTTGCTTTACTTTGCTCTTTTTCCAAATTCCTGCTGGAGCAAGGAGGAGAGACTAGTATATCAGGCAGTCTCTTTGCTGGTATGCTATCTCTGTAAAGGTTACAGTTACTACCCCGAGGGTGTTAGCAGCCTCCCTTCTTGTCTTTGCACATGGAAACATGGAAATGCCATACAGCAAGCCGCTAGACCGGCATAACCTTGACGCTAGAACCCCAGTTCAGCCCAGCACTTTGGCGTAACGGTAGGCACGTGTCTAAGCCCCTCGGTGTGCTCGGGACTCACGCCCAACCTCCAGTAAGCTGGCGAACCGAGGGGTTTATTGTTTTTTTTTCTCATACAGCAGTTTACGTTGCCCGTAACAACTTCAAGCAGTCATGGCAGGAGGAGGAGGCAAATTGTCACCTTGCTACATGTGCGGGCTGTCTCTGCCCATCCCTGATCCGAGCCGTTGTACCATGCCGAAGCTTTGCGCAGCAAGCTAGTAACATAGCCCTAAGGTAAAAAAAATCACCATAAGAAAGTTTCTGATTGTCCTGCCTGGTTGTCATTTGGTGCAACTGGGAATAAAAGGGTAATACTGTAAGTGTCTGCAGAGGTCTTGCCGACACAGCTGGAGCACAATTCTTACAAACTCGAATCGTGCGTCTCAACATCTGCACGCACGTGAATCAACATCATGCCTTCAACATGCAGATGGGGCGGGAGGGGTTGACAGTCTTAGTTACACGCATTCGAAAGTCAAACACAAAACCTGTGGTCTGACCCAGTGTAAGATTGTCCTGTTCAGGAGGTTTGGTATAAAAATACTTGCTCTCATTTTGGTTTTTTTTGTAGTCTGCTTTCCTATGGTTCTGTTTGAAAAGTCTTTTCAAACGCTACAGCAATGCCTGTCAAACCATGCTTTCAGAAGTAACACACTCTTTCTTACAAATATACAGTGTAAAAGAGGAAAATATTATTACTAGTTATGCTTTTCGTTTTTCTTCTAGGAGAGCAGATGTGTGATAGAGGCTGTGGGAAAGTCTTGGAGGAATCCAAACTTGTGTGAGGTGTTTTTTTTTTTCAAGCCTGTAACAACAGAGAGAGGTGTTAAAAGGAAAAAAAAAGAACAAAAACAAAAAACCACAACAAAAGCAGCCATGATCTTGGGCTGAGACAAAGCAGACAAGGGGCTGTGATTAATCTCTCTGCCTTTGTGGGAAGCTCCCGTTCCACAGCATAGGGGAGAGGGAGGCTTGTTTTGGAAATGGAAGAGAGAGCAGCTCGTTCTGGCATTGTGCTCCAAGGACAGTTGTTTAACTGGGAAAGGGCAAGGTGGGAAATGCCTGTGGGGAGAGCTGGGGCTGTCAGCACCCCAGGGTGGGCCAGGCAGAGGGGAAGACCCCACTGATTCCAGTTTGCTCCTCCCACTGGCTGTAGCCCTTGGGGTTTTAACTTGAGGAGGCACCAGCTGGGAAGCTGAGAGTTAAGTCCCCAGGTGAATTTTGCACTTAAAGAGGAATTCAGTCTCTGTTGATCCAAGGCAGGAAGCGAGGACGGCAGGGAGATGAGATTACTGGGGGTAATTCAAAGCCGAGAGGCATTCCTCGGCTGCAGAAACTCTGGCCCCAGATAACAGCGATAAACGCGGGAATGGCAGAGCCACAGTTTGGTCACGTCGTCCTGTAGCAGCAGCAATACCACCCTGCAGGGATAATCCCATGGACATGCCCGCCTCACTGCCCCTTTCCTTGGGTACATGGCGTTGGCTTCCTCAGCCGTCTACCCCCTCCCCAAAGCAGCAAAGCCCCAGGGGCTGCATCCCCCTGGCGCAGCCAGGCACCGTGCTGCAGCCTTACCAGCACACTGTGGTTTTGCAGAGAGCATGCCAACCCAGTAGCCACCTTGGAAGACTCCGTTAATACCCACAAGACTGACTGTAGGCCACCATCACACACCTGAGACCTGCAAGAGGACACAGCAGAGGGTTAGGGACACTGGCAGGGGCAGCCAGGGGCTGAGGTTGCTGTGCTGCAGCAAGAGGTTATTTTGCAGTGACCAGGGTCGGCACTTCCCAAGAGGGTAGTTTGCAGCTTAACCTTGCCCTGATGGGCTTCACATGGCAAATATGAGTAGGATGCAGGCAGGAGAGCCAGGGCGGCAGCAAAACCCATGGCTGGCTGGCTTGTAGCCCTTCCTGGCTGGAGGAGCCTAGTGGGGAGCCAGGGCGTCCCCAACCCTCCATCCTTAACCACCCATTGCAACTACCAGCGTTGCTGCAGGCAGATGGACCTGTTCCAAGGGATTCACTCATCTCCACTTCCCAGATAAAGCTCTGCTTACATTTTAGCTGAAAATATTGTCACGTTCCATATTCTGGAAGAACCACTGGTTCCCAAATCCTCATTGCTCCCTATCTGTATCTGCTGGGCTTAAAAAAGGCAGTGAATGCTTTGCGGATCCCAAGTCTTGGGTCAGCCGCAGCCGTAGCCAGCCGCGTGAGCGAGCCTCATGGCCGCAGCGCAGGGCTGCAGGGGCCAGGCAGAGCAGTGGCATGGGAGCATGGGCAGCCGATGCCGGAGCCTCGCCACCTCCTTGGATCTGCAGGGGTTTCTCCACAGGTGGGTGTGGACATGGCGCAGGCTTCTCAGCAGGCAGCGGCAGCAGAGGGGGATGGCAGCTGGGATGGTCCAGGCAGGCTGGGATCACAGGGCAAGCGATGTCAGCATCAACCGAGCCTCCTTCCCCTCTTCCATTTGAATCCTCTTTGTTTATCCACGCAAGGCTGAGTTATTTGCAGAGCATATCTTGCAAGGCTTTTTCCATCTGATGACATCCTAGGTGTCATCAAACTGGGCACTTGATGATAAGGCCATGCCTTTTATTTTGGCGGCCCCACCACCCCAGGCTGCCAGGAGAGTTTTCATGAAGGTTTAATGTTTGTGTTGCACTGGGAGGTGGAAGGTTGCCTTCAGCTGAGCAGCCCTGTCCTTCATTTGCAGGACCATACCATTGCTGCACTCCCTGGGCATGCAGCCTCCACTGCTGCAACAGCTTGGACCTGCCTTTCCATCCTGCCCCAGGATATCTGGGAAAGCTTCAGGGTAGACGGTGGCAGAGATGTCCCCTTCCTGGGGGCAAAGAGGGTGCCTGGACCTATGGTGACTGCCAGAAACTGCCCTCACCAGTGCGGGCGTAGGGTCTGGCCACCCACCCTGAGCTGCCAGAGACCCTGAGAGTTGTGGAGGGGGGAGCTCAGGGTAGGGGTGGAGGTAGCCCCCAGCCCACTGTGCCAGCACAGGAGGATGAGAACAAGGACAGGACACTCACCCGGCATTCAGCAGAACTGACGGGACTTCCAGCCCTGAGAACCAGCCTCTGAGGGAGGGAGCCAGCGCATCTGCAAAGACAAGAGGGGCACAGGGTGAGAGGGGTGGTGGCCGCTCACCCTGGCAAGAGCAGGCTGCCCCTGGGCTCCCCTTTCCCAGCCTTCCCCAGGCACAGGGCAGAGGGAGGTCGAAATGCAAACACTACAGCTGCCCCAGCTCCAGTTTGGACAGTAACACTGGCAGGGGCCGAGTGCGGCCCCTGGCATCACAGCTTGCAGCAGGACCAAGTGGGGACGGCAGCACTGTGGCCCCACTGCACAGGCAGCAGGCTCATCCCCTCTTAACGCTTGCAAAGCCTGCATGAGATGGGGGGGAAACGTCAGACGCCAAAACCCAGCGGCTCTCAGCACCTGCCCACAGGCACTCGGTGCTTTGCTGGATAACGCCACATCAGCCCTGCTGTCCTGAGGTTCTTGGTCCTGCCACTCTCTGCAGGACCCGGCCAGGGAGGCCACCCTGCAGCAAGCAGCTCCAGTTTAGGTGGTGGCACCCCTCTTCAACGCTCCCCACCCAACCTACAACACTGGCAGCCAGCCAGTGTGGGGGACAGGGACAGACTGCAGCCCCCAGCAGAGGAGCGCTGCATGCTTTGCTGCAGCACCCCGGGGCAAGGGGGAAGGTGCTACCACCATCCTCCCCACCACACTGGCTCTATAACCATGACAGGTAACGTTTCTTCTAACACTGTCTAGCATCAGGTCTCAACCTCGGTTTTCCCGGAGGGCCCTCGGAGCCTCTTCACGCCTCTGTTTCCTTTGCTGGCCATTTCCCCAGCCCCCAAGCAGCGCAGGTGCTGCCTGTTAGCGGTTATTTGACAAGGCAAGTATGTAGCTGCAATAATATTTACCACCGCTCTTCCTATAAACAGCAGGGCCTGAAAAGCTGGAGTTTCATCCAAAGGCTGCGGCTGGTTTGTACGCCAAGCGCTCTTCCTCACCCTCCCACTCAAGCCAGTCCCTGGCTGCCTTCGGCTCCCAGTGATGGCGGCTCCAGACAACCCAGCTCAATCCCAGTGGGCCAGGGCCAAAAGCCTTTCAGATGCAGCTTATCTGGCAAATCTGTTTCCTCCTGCTCATTTCCTCCTGCTCACAGCCAAGCCAGAGCTGGCAGTGAGGAGCGAGAACTGGGATGATGTCCGGCGTGGCTGCTGGGGAGGCAGCTGCCCATTCCTCCCCTCATGGTGCACATCTCTTCCCGGTATCCCCGCGATGCTGCTCTGGGAAACATCTCGAGGGCTGGCGCTACAAAGAAATCCTCCAACACCTCCATTTGCACTTCTCTTCTTTTCCCCTCTCCTCTCCCAGGGCAAGTAGTTAATTTTTAACAGCCACATGCTGCCACCAGCAGTGGCAGCCAGCAGAAAAGCACTTGTGACAAGAGAGCGCCTCGTCAATAAAAGATGGGTCCTCCATTTGCGCTTCGCTTCCCCTCTCCTTCTGTCAGAGTCGCTTTGCTTCATGCCCCGCATCCAGCAAGCCGCATCCCAGCGATGCTCAAGGGGCGGCCAGGGCCTCGGCAGCCCCCATGCTGCACCACGCCGGCAGCCAGACAGGTCGTTGGGTGCCAGGAGCGATGGGGACGGTCCAGCACCAGTGAGCATCCCCCATCCCTCCCTCCCTGCCTGCCACTGGCGTGGGCGAGAGTGAAGGTAGGAAGGCAGAGAGAGGTGTTTGGGGAGAGGCAGGCGCTGTCCGCTGCCAGCACTCCGCTGGGCTTGGGTGCCATCCCTAAAATCTCAGGGAGGGGTCAGTGAGTGCCTGTTAGCAGGGCAGAGGTTAGTGGTGCTGCGAGCACCAAGGGGAAGGGGGGTTTGCTGGGACAGTCAGGGCTGGGGACAAGCAAGGAGAGGTGTGGACCTGGGCCAAGAGGTGACTGGAGTCTCCAGACCACAGTTTAAGGATGGCCTCAGCTTGGGGAGGTTCATGGCAGAGTGCTGGCAGCCCTCCTCCTCCTCTCCCTCACATGAAGCTACAAGCCAGGTTTGTCTCCTGAAGGTAAGCAGGAACCAGGGAAGCATTTGCCTGCCTTGGACCCCCATCAGATGCCAGGTGCCCTGAGGGATGCCGGGTGCCCCACTGGCACAGTCACGCTCCCTTGCCCCTGCGCAAACCACCCCCAGTAAACGTTAACAGGCCGGGGGCCGGAGGGGAGAGGCAGAAGGCGTCCGGGTGATTCATTCACAAGGCATTTAATCGCCTCCTTCAGCCCCAGCTCCCTGTCCGCCACCTTTCAGCAGGGGCTCGCTTTTAATTCTCCACCAGCCGATTAGTCGCTTGACTGCCCGCCGCCGGGGAGGCACCGCCGGGCAGCCGGAGCCCAGTGGGAGCAGGAAGGCAATGGCACAGGGCTGCGATCGAGCCATAAAACAGGGCAAGCGGAGCTTCCCCCCGCCTCCCCAGCAAAGTGGGGTGCTGCCTCCCCCGCGGCAGGATTAGTCCTTGCGTAAATACTCTCTCTGCTAATGGAGCGTCCTCCTCAGCTGGGTTTAGATTCCCGGGCTGTGTGTACGCACGCCATCAACCCGCAAAACTCCCCGACATAAACAAGTCTGAGGCCAAGGGATGCTGGCTCTGGCTCCTCCGCCCCTGGGATGCAGGAGGACTCGGCTTAGCCTCCAACCCTGCCACCCGTAGCCATTTCTCCAAACCAGTAGCCAAACATCCGGCAGAGGACCGGGGGAGAACAGCAGCCCTTGGGGAAGAGCGAGTCCAGAGCTGCCAGGGCTGGAACGAGGAAGCGGCAGAGGAAAAGCCAGTGAGAAGCCAAGGGAGCAGATGGGGGATTGCAACAGAGCAGAGGAGCAGCGGGCACGGGTGGGGGTCACGCACGGCTGTGTCCCGCCCGGGGCTTGTTCCCAAATCCTCCAGACCCCGCGCTTAAAGGAGGAAAGGAAGCAG